TTTCCCCACCGGTTTCCTGGGTCCTACTTGCGCGTCCCTAGTTGGACTTCTAGGGTTTTATTGTGTATGTAATAGGCATATGACTGTATCTATATACCTAAATTACATACCTGTATATCTATAATTGCATGTTCCTACAGTGGGAAGCCCCACCAGCCGAGGCGGGCGCGCGCTAGCGTTTACAATTATGCAAAATCTTGAGAAATGAAAAACATGTGAAAATCATAAGACATCATGAGGAACCATGAAAAACGCCAAAAGGTATTGAAAACTATGAAAAATATCAAAGGAGATGAGATTGACTAACAACTATGACAACTATGAAGAATGATGGAAATGTAAAAGAATCAGTACACATGACCGAAAATGTGAAAAATAATCAAAAGGATGAATAATCAAAAGGAAGTTCGTTGAAAAAAACATGGTGAGAAACATGATGACACATGCTTGCACTAGTTCTTTCTTTCTTTCCTTCCTTCCTTCCTTCTTTCGTTCGTTCTTTATTTATGTCTTTCCTCCTCCGGCTCGGGGCTCGGATATCTTTTGATCTTTGCTCGGGAGGCCAGAACTATTGAGCTGTACTACAAAATCCAGTCTTTTGTTTCTTGGTTGATCCTTACTTGTGTTTTGGTTGATGCTTATGCGTTCTGTGTTTGATCCTTATTTGCTTTTTTTTTTCCGAACCCCCCTCCCCCGAATATCGCCCCCAGGTAAAAAGCTATTCATACACTGCCCGTCATGACGAGAAGCGACTACATGACGTCCAGACTTTGAAGACCCCGACCTGTCAGCATTCCGCGGTGCAGCATACACTCGCCCACGAGCCTCCACTCCTCCGCCCCATTTGTACCTTCCTGTCTGCACAGCCTCCGTGGAAAGAGTGGACATGTTGAAGGAAACAAGGTCGATGACCAGCACATCCGGAGCACTGCGTGGCAAAACAAACAGTTCATTGCTCACCACCACACAGCCGCCAAACAATTCATAATCCGGTACTGTATTCGCTTGGGCGAGCAAGTGATGCGCCTGTGAGATGTCAACCCAGTTGATGGCAATAGACACCACATCGAAAACAATCAGATAAGTCTGACCAGGATCACCATGATTGAGAATGTACAAGCTGTGGTTGGCTGCGGCTATCAAACTGCTCCACCAACTCCACTTGAATCCTGGCAGCGGTATCTTGCTAGTTTTCTGCGTTGCTGTGTTGCAGATCAGGATATCCGACCCGACTGCATAGATGGATCCGTTGAGCTCTGCTACGAAGTCTCTGTACGAGAGCTTATTTTGCCAATGTGAAATCCTGTGAGCGGAGTAAGGAGTATTGTGCTGCAAATTCACAACCACAACATTGTCGTAAGCGATCGCAAAGAGCCTGTCATTGACTGCAACAGGTCGAGGAAGCATATACCGGCTTGTCAGGTTAGGGCTTCGAAAAGTTGACACCAGATCTTCATCCTTGCAATTCCCTGGGCTGGCCTCGGGAAGGGAGAGATTCTGCCCAAAGCGCCATGACTCAGTGCAATTGGGAGCCTCACAGAAGCAGACCCGCAGGGATCCGGGTCTCCAGGGAAAGCGGTACGTAGCCCACTCGCCGGTCGCAGATATGCTGACGGCCTTAACTGTCTGGTTTGACCAGTCTCGGGGCCAACCCTTTTCCTCAGGGTCACCACATTCCACCTTTCCACCATCCTGGGAGGACAGAAGAAAGGCACGGTCCCCTGCAGAGAAAAGAGCACCACGCATTGTAACATGCACAGCAACATAGCCGGGGGTGAGCAACAGTCTCCGGTACAATCTCTGTCTGTACTGGTTCTCTTGATAGCCGTCCTGCCATGACCACTTTGGGCGCAGGCCGCACTCATAGCGCAGGCTGGAGAAATTTTGTAACACACCGGGGCCAATCCTGGGATGCTTGTCGGCAACCTTGAGCCCACTCGAGTTCACATAGCAATGCCTGGCAGATTCATACATTTTGATGAGCTCGTCCACACCGGCGGGATATGAGAAGGGAGGGAATTGCCGAAGATACGGTGCCGACAGCGGCAGATCCAATGGACAATCTGCTAAATACGTGGGGTTGATACTGATACCATAGAAGCCGGTGCGGTTGACTTGGGCCGAAACATCTTTCCGAAGCTCCGACGACCAATTGAAGAGCTTGTCCTCCTGCTCCATAATCCAGTTCGTGAACTTCTCCCGCTGAGGAAGCAAAACTGCCTCTCGATACTCGCTTTTGTTCGGCAGGTGCGGCAGGAAGTTGAAAACGAGATCTAAGTGCTCATACAGGTGATAGCCGAAGGAGCGTCGAAGTTCTTTCAGCATCATCTCCCGCATTGCCACGCCACGCTGCCATGCGGCATTCCTAGGTCAGTCGTCGGATCATAACTGTCATACAGTCTTTAGCCCCGCATCCTCCTGTATGTGGCAAACACCTGCCCACCTGAATCTGGAAAGAACTTCTGGACTAGGAAGCGTGCAAACCTTCGCAAATAAAGTAGAAGCGGATGCCCGGACATTCCTGGACCTTGAAACCTGAGCAAGCGTGTCTCATACTGCTTACGTAGCTCATGACGAAGCAAAGCTTGGCTCAGTAATGACCAAAAATCAGCACCCACACGATGCGGTGAACTTTTTGCGCGTCCTGCTCCATGAGCTTTGCCATGGTGTTCTGCCACAGCTCTTTGTCTTTCCTAGCTTTCGAAGACAAAGGCTGTTTTTCTGACGACCGGTTGTGAGAATACGCCAAACCAAAAAGCATCCCATAACTATTCAATGGCATCACCCCACCCCATATAACAAAACTTCTAGCACCCTCCCCCCTCCCCCCCAAACCCGGAACCCTACATCCTGAAAACAGACCCTAAACCCTAAATCCTAAGCCCTAAACTCAGGGGGGGAGGAGGCAGGGAGGCTTGCTAGTGGAAAACGGGTGCAGGGGCGGCAGGCTCGGGATTCCTCGGGCAATCTTGAAGAGCACACTGTCCAAGCTTTCTACGCGGTTTAGGGTCTAGGGCTTGCAGAAATGAATCCCAACACTGGAGACGTTAGATAGTTTCATGTGAGCTATAGTCTGAACTCCGAGTATCCCCTTGATAGCCCGTATAATGCTCCCCTATATAACCCCCTATATAACCCCCTACATGAACGCCTTAAGGAGTTTACTTAAGGAGTTCAAACTGCAATTCATGTGTGGAAGCCTGGCGTCTCTTCGCCCCTGGTGTCACCTCTCCCGGGTGTGTCAATCCAGCGCATCTTGACATAGTGTTCATCTCTGAAGGGATGTCGGACGAGCATGGTCACATGACTTGTGTGCGACACCATCGTGGAGCTAGGATCACACGTCTCTTTATCACCTGGGGAGTTTTAAAATTGGGGTCGAAATTCCGTACCCAGGATTCTAGGAGTCCTAGGTTTGAAACGGTACCCAAACCAGGTTGCGATTTGACAATAACCCACCTGTCATCCAATGACATAATTCAGACTTTCCAGTGCCAGTCAAGCCAACAGCAAGAAAGGTCAGCAATCCCTTCCTTGGGTGACGGACAAAAGCGCGAAAAAACAATAATCCCACACACCTCTCCTCTGGATTTGCTTTTCAAAATTCCTTATGCACTTAACCCGAAGCCCTAAACGCTAAACCCACTACACTTACTAAAAGCATGATGCTGCCCCAGCTTCCCCTCGTTCTGAGCCAGTTCCGTCTCCTTTAACTGGTCATCGTACGCTTGCTTGAGCAGCTTATTGCGCTCATGGATGGCCTTCTCTTCCTCTTTCTCTGCCTCCACTGCACCTGAATTCCTATCCATGCCTTCCAAGGCGTTGCGTTTCGCCTTTGCCTTTGAGATCCTGGGCTGCTAGTAAACAACTTAAGCTGAGTTACCATCGTATGGTCAGATATGTATGTATTTCAAATAGCAGGATATTCTTATGACGGTAACTTAACTTAGATTCCTTAACAGCGACCCAGACTCCTCTGCGCCAGCGTGGCCAGCCTGCACAAAAGACTAAAGTGACAGCCTGTGGAGAAGGTCCCTACACCCAATATCCTCAAGCGTCAGGGCAGGTGATCTGGTACGCATGCTCAAAACCCTCATAACCCTAATGATAACCCCACCTATCTCCATTACTGGGCTGCTTTTAAAGAACTTAAATTGTTATCATGACATGGGTAGATAGTAATAATCGGATTTCCTTCTCATCGTAATCAGACTGCTTGCTAAGTTCCCTGGCCTTCAAAGTGTACCCTGACTGTAACTCTCAAGAATGCACTCAAAAAACATTGAATGTTGAAACTTTCAGATTCTGCCCCAACATGCTTTTGGCAGGTCACTTGGCATACGGAGCTGCCGGCGAAGCTGCTTTCTTGACTTATGCAAGTGTCAGCTTGCCGTTCTTGTCGCAAAACCGAAACCCTTCTCGGCCTTTCGGGCACGCTGAAGATGTCGACTTGGATCGTGTATGCAGCACTAAAGCTGCTGGACCTCAGCTGCTCCGAAAGCATTGTTTCAGCATATTGTTTTTTGCCGCCTTTGTCGCGCAACGTTTTCAAGCCTGTAAGTCAGACGCTTCTAGTGAAAGCCAAAGGGGCAGTTCCACTGTGGGCACAAGCTGAAGAAGAACCGAGATGTTGAAGGATCCTGTTCAGTTTTGACGCTATGGATCAAGGGTTGAGAGCTTATAGCCAACAGAAGGCACAGCTGATGACGCTGTGTGAGGTGCGTTGTGTTTCAAAAAACTTCATGGCAAGTTAGTTTTGATGTCAGCCCCCATCCGGCTGCGTTGTTTGATGCGGAATGGCGCGGATGGCTATTACCACTGCCCCCTAATTTCACAGCAAGCAGCTCAGCTAGAGTTGAACGGTCCTGCTTCGCTCTCGATGTCCTTATGGAAGTCGATCTGGCCTTCTGAGCTTGGCAGGACCTGACATGCTCACCAGTTTGAACTGTACCTCATCCTCAGCTTCCCAAAGGCCTGTTTTCCTTTTAGACCCAAAGGACCCGCATCATACAGCATAAACTCCCAGAAAACGGATTCATGTTGTGAGAAACATCCATATGCCAAACTTTAATTTGACACGCATGGAAAGTACATATCCAGCATGCAGCAGTGTTGCACTAGGACATGTGTCTTAAGATGCTTGTTTCCAGTCCTTGGACGAGCCTAATTAAGCCAGAAACTGGGAAGACCTTTGTGTTAGAATTGATCTTGTATTTTTTGGATATCTTTTTTTGTTGTGGGCTTTTTGGTTGGCTTCTTGTCTTCCTGGCTTTCTGGCTTCTTGGTTTCTCTGGCTTCTTGGCTTCTCCAGCTTCTTGGCTTCTCGGCTTTGCGGCTTCTAGGCTTTTCGGCTTGCTAGCTTCCCACCTGCGTGACTTCTGGACTTTCTGGTTTCTCGGTTTCTCCTGCTTCTTGGCTTCTTGGTTGTCTTCCTGGCTTCTTGCTTTCTCCCCCCCACTCCCACCCCAACCCCCCCACCCCGCCCGCTTTGTTGTAGCCATCCAGGCTTGTGGCAAAATGACATGTCACCGCCATGTTTGCAATAAGGGCAGGCTGTGTGGATCATTTTGTTTGCAACTCGGGGGGGCTGCGCCCCCCCCCACCCCTGCCCCCCCGTGCTTACGGCAAAAAAATCATGTCATCACCATGGGGCTGCGACTGCCTAACCCCCCTGCTTTTCAAGGCAATCCATCGTTGCAATGAAAAGCAATCATCATGCCATCACCATTTGTGTAGTAGGGCAAGGTTGTGCGGATGAGTTTGTGCTGTTTCTCCCCCAACACCCCCGGTTTTCTAAGGCCATTCATGCTTATGGTAAGAAACCCATACCATCACCTTGTTTGCAGTAGGAAAAGTTTGTGCAAACGATTTTGTTTGTTAATGTGGGGGTGTTGCACCCCCCAACCCCTCTGCTTGTTAAAGGCCATTCATGCTCACGGTGAAAAATCCATGCCATCACCATGTTTGCAGTAGGGGAAGGCGGGGGCGGGGGGGGAGGGGGTGCAGCCCCGCCAACCCCGCTTGTTTATGGCCATCCATCCTTAAAGTGAACAAAAGCCATGTCCCCACCATGTTTGTCCTAGGGAAGGCTGTGCGGATCATTTTGTTTGCCA